CCCCCCCACTTTTTAACCATGCATATACTGACCATATAGTATTTCTGTGTTTATTTCCAGACTGTAATGGATTTTCCAATTTACGTTCTTAGATTATGCAAAGGTTTTCTTTGTTTCACATCCTGGGCAACACTTAGCTTTTGTCTTTTCTAAAATCATTCTAGCAGGCATAAGGAAGTGTCTTATTGTGGTTTCAATTTGCATTTCCCTGGTGATGAGTTTCTTTTCCTGTCACTGGGATAAAATATTCTGATGAGAACAAGTTAAAGGAGAACAGCTTCATTTACTCCACAATTCAAGGCACAGCCCTTCCTGGTGGGGAAGTCAAGGAGGCAGAATCTTGAAGCAGGTGGCCATATCATATTCACAGATCAGAAAGCAGAGAATGATGTACATGCTGATGCTTAGCTTTCTTTTTTTCCATTCTGAACCTTCCAGGCTGCCCTATTCCAGGAAATCATTCTGCCTGAAATTAAGATGGGCCTTACAACTTACCAAGATAATGAGATAAACAGATAAATCAATCAAGATAAACAGGCATGGTCAGAGGCTCATCTCTGAGGTGATTCTGGATTCTGTAAGGTTGGAAACAATAACCATCACCATTAGTGATGATAAGCATAAGTATGTTTTCATATCTCTGTTTTGTGTGTGTGTGTAGAGCCGCATGGTGCCGTGCCTTAAAGATGGCGCTGGTTTCCGCCTTCACCCGATCTGATGGCGGGTGCTCTCTGTGCCTATTTGGCTCGGGCTGATGACCTGGCTTGGTTTCCGCATATGTGTGCCTATAGGTATTTGCCATGTGGCATTCCTGAGGTCAGCGCCGATGAAGTATTTAGCCTGTGGGCAGGGGCTCCCCGGGGTCAGAACATTGTTAGAAGGGTCCTGAATAAAGTGTAGAAGTAGAGCTCGTGTCGCGTCTTCCTTGCGGGACGAGGGGGAACGCGTCGTGTATGTGTGTGTGTGTGTGTGTGTGTGTGTGTATGTGTGTGTGTGATATTAGCCCATTACCAGGTGAACACTTTGCAATTATTTTCTCCCATTTTGTGTGTTGTCTCTTCACCCTTGATTTTTTTTCAAAATTTATTATCTTTGATGTGAAAATCATTTGTTTTTTTTTTCTTGTCCATGTTTTTCATATTGTAGCCTGAAAGTCATTATTCAGGCTGGTTTTTCTCCATGTATTAGTGCTTTAGTTACTTTGTTATTGCTGTGATGAAGTACCATGATGAAGGTAACTTATGGAACAAAGGTTTTATTTGGTCTTATAGTTCTGGAGGGTTAGAGTCCATGATGTAGAGCAGAGGCAGTGGTTGTAGGCATGGTAGCAGCTGCAGCAGAAGCTGGAGGCTCACTTTTCAAACCACAAGCACTAAGCAGAGAGAGTGAACTGAAAATGTTGCAAATCTTTAAATTCTTAAAACCCACCTTCAGGCCATACTTCCTCCATTAAGACCATACTTCCTGAACCTACCCAAACAGTGCCACCAAGCTGGAACCAATATTCAAATGCTGAAACCGTGGGGAATATTTCATTTAAATCACCATTATTACTAGAGGCTTTCCATTTCCATCGTTTAGTCATTCAGAATTAACTTTTATATAAAAATATGAGATCCTAAAACGAAGACAAATAATGTCCTTTGCTCACTGTGTGTTCTTGGCAGCTTTGGCAAAGCTTAAAGCTAATCAGTTGGTAGTCAATGTATGGATTTCTTTCTAGGTTCTACTCTGTTCCATGGGTCTATATGTCTTTTATTTTGCCAGTATTATAAGGTGTATTGATTAGTGTAGTAAGGTTATATGATGCCTTCACCTTATCATTATTATTTTAAAATTGTGTATGTTTGGGTCCTTTGCTTGCATGCATATCTGTGTACCATGTTCACACTTGGTACCCGAGGAGGCTGGAAGAGGGCACCAGATTCTCTGAGGAGGCTGTGAGCCATCCTATAGGTGCTGGGAACCAAACCACAGTGCTCCAGCCTACCTTTGTTCTTCTTGTTCAAGTTCACTTTGACTATCTGAATAGTATTTTGTGATGCTATATGAAATTTATAGTATTTGTTTTCATTTTGTGAAAAATGGCAGTGATGGTTTAATAGGGATTGCACTCAACCTATAGATAAATAGTTTTTGGTAGTAAAATGTTTTTTTTTAACAAAATTAACTCCTCTGGTCTATAAATGTGGAATATTTTTCCATTTAGGCCTTCTCATTCTTTCATCAGCTCGGTACAATGGCATATATCTGTAATCTCAGCACTTGAGAGACAGAGTCATGAGGACTGCCACAAGTTTGAGGCCAACCTGGTCCATATAGTGAGTTCCAGGCCAGCCAAAGATGTAAAGTGAGGCCATGGCTCCAAAAGAAATATCTAAATAAAATAAAAAACTTTTGCTAGTGTTTTATATTTTTCAATGCATCAATCTACATATCTTTGGTTAAATTTATTTCTAAGTATGTTTACAACTTTAAATGAGATTGCTTCTGTGAAATCATCTTTCATCAATTATTTCTGTCAGTGTGTCAACTTATTAAAAATCAGTAGATTTTTGCACATCGATTTTGTGTCCTGTCATTTTATTGTGCCTATCAGCTCTGACAGCTTCTGGTTGAGTGTTTAGAGTTCTCTGAAAGATTACAAGGTGATATTATCTGGAAACAAGGAAATTTAACTTATCCTTTCCAATTTCTGTCATGCCTGTTGGCATTTTGTCTAGGCTCCGCCCCACAGTTACCTAGCAACAGCCAAGGGTGCCTGGCTCACTATAAAATGAACTGCTTGCCCCCCTCACTCTCTCTTGCCTTCTTGATCTAGCTCTGTCTTCTGGTCCCCGCCCACCTCCACATGATCGTGGCTGGTCTCTACTCCTCTATTCCTCTACTCTCTCTGCCTTTCTCTGCCTCTACTACCCTCTTAATTCCCCTCCCCGTGCCCGGAATAAACTCTATTTTATACTATACCGTCGTGTGGCTGGTCCCTCAGGGAGAAGGGATATTTCAGCATGGGCCCTTGGAGGCACCCTCTTTTCCCACACCTGACTACACATCCACCAAACATATTCCTTCTCTCCTTATATTTGTATAAAACACAACAATGCCAAAATATGGGTTAGCCACAATCACCATGACACAAGCCAAGATTTTATTCTTCATCAATGTGATGAGGGAAAGAAACACCAAAAGAGCAGTACAGATGAGTAGGAAAAGATGGTTTCTTACTTCATTCCTAAAAGGAGGTCAAATGGATGCATGTGTTGAGTTTTCACATTAAACTGAGCATCTGGGAATAGAACTGAAACATTTCATCACATGGCATTAACACATCAAATGCATGTGGTGTCAGAGAATAGGATTATAATCCTTTAAAAATAGCATTGTCAACTAGGCAGTAAGGTGCTCTACAGCTTCATCACTAACTATACAGGTAACAAAATGAAAAGGAAGACAAATCAGCTTCCACTTTTAAAAATATTTTTGTTATAATCAATAAGAAAGCAAAAACCAATTTGGTTATACATCAAAATCTCAAAATACATCGTTGTTCCAGAAGATCAAGACAAAAAATATATGTCAGATATTCAAGTGTAAGTGAGCATGGGCCCCTTTGCACAGCTTTCTAGGCTAATGAAGAGAAGCCACATCAGAAGTAGAATTTCCATGATTAAGGAAAGCTCTTCTCATCCAGAGGTCTAGAGGCCAGCATTGCTTTTTACAGATAATTTTAATAGATGAACTCCATGCACAGAACATGGACATATCAGAATGAATGATATGTATACTATATTATTTTTCTCACTTGTATTTATAGAGCGCCTGAATACCAAGTAGTACATTAAAATACTCTTTTGTGCCTGCTTCAACTTCATTAACAGCATATTCCTTATGAACTGTTTCCCCTAGATTTCTCATAATTTATGCAATCTTTTGTTTGGAGTCCATAGTCCCCCTGGCAGAAAGACAAAGGAGCTATTTTTGCCTAGTAGTAAAGTTCCAGTCACCAACAAGCCATGTTTAGCTCTTCAGAACTCTTTAAGTTCCATTCTTTCCAAGTCAATTCCCTTGTTTTATTTGTTTGTTTTTTAAAAAATTTTATTTTCAACAACTTCATACATGCATATGATATACTGGGATCATATTTACCCTCTCTTATTCCCCAAACTGTTCCTGTCCTGATTCATTCTCCCCCTCTTCTCTCTCCCTCTACCCCCTCTCACCCTTCCCTTCCCTCTTCTCTTCCTTGTCCCCTCCTCCTTTGTCTTTGTCTTCATCATCTTCTTGTTGTTTTTTCGAGGCAAACACTCTCTGTGTAACTTTGGCTATTCTGGAACTCACTCTGTAGACCAGATTGGCCTCAAACTCTGAGATCTGTGTCCTTTGCCTCCCAAGTGATGGAATTAAAGGCATGAGCCACCACTGCCCGACTAACTTCATTTATTTTAAAAACTCTTAAAATACATTTTTATTTTCTGTGTTTAGGTATTGCCTACATGTGTCTGTGCATCACGTATGTAGCTGGGGCCCATGTGGACCAGAAAGGGCCATCAGATCCTCTGAAACTTGAGTTGTAGATGGTTGTAATCTGACATCACGTTGATGCTGAGAACCAAACCTAGGTTCTCGGCAAGAGCAGGCAGTGCTCTTAACTGCTGAGCTATCTCTCCTGTCCAATGTCTTATTTTTGTGCTGGTCTTCTGACGGTCACCATGCTTACCTGCTGTATTCATATCCAGGAGGCAGTGTTTCATCAGATTCTTCCTCATCCTCCAGCTCTTACAATCATTCCACCTCTTTTTCCTTAAAGCCCCTTGAATCTTTGGAAGAATGATATGGATAACTTGTTTAGGGCTTGTTTTCTTTCCTTCTTTCTTTCTTCCTTTCTTTCTTTCTTTCTTTCTTTCTTTCTTTCTTTCTTTCTTTCTT